GGCTACCTATTGGTACTAGAGACAAAGTGAAAAGAACTTTTGTTTTGTTTTGGTTTCATCATAACTAACAAAAAAAACCCAAACTCGGCATACCTAGTTCTACTAGTCCAGGTGTTACAGTATTAGTTACCGAAGTATACCTTCAGGTCACTTCAACAGGTCCGGAGGTAAGGACTCATCATAACTAACAAAACGAGCTCAAACCCGGCACACCCAGTTCTACTAGTCCAGGAGTTTCAGTAGTAATCCCGAATTACATTTTGAGGTCACTCGATCAAGACCGGAGGTAAGGTCTCATGATAATATCTCATGTAATGGTTCGATTCTATACCTATCAATTTTGTAAACGCGTCCTTAAAATCTTGATTATGAAGATGTAGAATACATGTTAACTGGTTTATGGTAAACACGCACACACACACACACACACACACACACACACACACACACACACACACACACACAACACGCAAGCGCGCGCAAACATGCACACATGCGCGCACGCACAAACGCATACACACACTCACACACGCACACTGCCGCACACACACGCGCACACACACACACATACACAAATATACACATACACATACACAGACACACACACGACTGAAAATGAAATTAAAAAAGGACCAAACACAATGAGGAGAGTGATGCGTGACGAACATTTTCCCCTTCATCGGTATATCTTTTGATTTTCCAAGTTTTCAAAACAGGAAGCCTATGTTCCTTTATGGGAAGTAAGCTTTTTCAATAGTGAAAGAGCCTGTAGCTATATTAATATTAGTATATTATTAGTTGTAGCACAAATGGTACGCCTTGACTGTGGTAGTACCACGCTCTTACAGAATACTAGCTAAAGACAGCTAAATACTGCTTGATTTCGTAGTGTGAGTGTAGAGAACCAGAGACCATATTTACTGGAAACGAGGCATTCCGTCTTGGACCTCAATAATGACAACGCAACCGCATATTGATTCTTGATCAAGGGTAAATGTAGATAACTATGGGCCACAGCATCAATTTACCATCAGGTGGTTTGTGTGCTTGTTTGTCAAGCTTATCATATATAAAAAAAACTTAAACATAAACTAATTCTCATGTGGCATAAGGAAATAAAATAACTAATTTGCTATATTTGGAAGTCAGGTAAAAGTATTCATCGAGAATAAATAAATTACATTACATATAAGGTTAGAATAAAAATGAGAAAGATCTTTAATATAAATCAAGAGTTTTGTATTTGCGTTTGAGCTTTTTATTTGTATTTAAAAGAAAATCAAGTGAAAGCCTTCCAATTCAATTGTCGGGTAAATATTTGCCTATCGATTATCGTAAATGGCTTCGCCACATGCGATTTGCAATAATCGATTGGCAAATATTTAGGTATTGAACATGCGATACTGTCGCATTTTCTTATTGAAATAATGGCACCAGCAAATACTTTTTATAGAACAATGCTGACTAACGAGCATATTGTCCACCTGCTGGTAGGTGGAGGCTGTGTCCCACAGACATTTACACTTATACTCAATTAAGAATTAAAATTTGGATACGTTGTCACCCCTGAGGACTAAGATGGAATGCCTCGTTTCCAGTAAAAAGGATCTCCGGTCCTCTACACTCACCATACGAAACACAGCTGTACAAAGTTGCTATTTTACACTGATATTCTGTAAGAGCGTGGTCCTTGTTCAGCCGAGCGAACACTTTAGAACTAGAATGACTATAATTGAAACTTCAGCACGGCTCTAGCACATAAAAATCATGCTTTTCCTTTTTGGCCTCTTTCGAGCCGACGCATTCTTACTAAAACCATAATAAAGCTGCAGCTGGGCTCTATCACGTATAAATACGTATACTTGCACGTAGTCCCGATATAATTGATCGATTTAATTTTGAGAGCACTTAATAGATAATTATAAAATAACATACTCGCTTTTACCCGCAATATCGTTTATCTAGAATTTATGAATATGAAGTAGCATAATTTTAATTAGTAATGGAATTTCTGAAACAAAAATAAACAGATATAACTACTAAGAACAAAAAAGGGAATTGTTAGTTTGTTTGCAGCATAAATTATTGTACATTTCGCATTATTGCACTAAGGGTCGCGGGGTCGAATCCCGTACGTAACAACTGTTTGTATAGCCTACAAATAGTTTTCAGATCTGAAAGTTTGTCTGTGTGTAATATATAAACTGCCTCAACGATACAGAAGGAAATCAGTATGGAGGTAGGGTTTTATTTTTAGACAAAAAGATAAATTTAAGAACATAATGAGTACGATGTATTTATACTTTGACATTACTTCTATTCTTTTGTGCTGTTAGAAACAGGTTTTGTTAACTTATTTTATTCCTTATTTTAACACCTTACAACAAAAGTAACAATGGGCGGCCTTAATGCCTGTCAATATTCTCATTTTTATAAAAATATTAATAGTTTTTTTACGTGGTAGAGCCATGCTGCCAGTTATATTAGTAGTATACTACAGCTAGCACGAATGGGTCGGCTCGACCGGGGAAGGACCACGCTCTCACAGAATACCAGCGTGAAATAGTAGCTTAATGCTGCTGTATTTCGTATGGTGAGTGTAGAGAACCGGAGACCCTTTTTACTGGAAACGAGGCATTCCATCTCAGTCCTCACGGGTGACAACGCATCTGCATTTTGATTTTTAATGGAGGATGGATGTAGATGTCTATGGGCCGCAGCAACCACTTACCATCAGGTGGACTGTGTACTCGTTTGTCACCCTATTCTATAAAAAAAAAAAAAAAAAAAAAAAAAAGTTACTTTACAACCATCTGCTCAATTAAATAAAATGATGTGTCTTACCTAGTTTGAAGAGCACCCGCCTCCTTCTAATCCTTCAATTGCGTGCAATAATCCCGTCATCACTAATCCCAGCACCACTATTCTAGGAAAGGAAAAAAAACGATGTATTTTTTCAAGAAAACGAGCCATAACTTTGACATTACTTGTATTCTTTTATGCTGTTAGAAATAGGTTTTGTTAACTTATTTTATTCCTTATTTTAACACCTTACAACAAAAGTAACAATGGGCGGACTTAATGCCTGTCAATATTCTCATTTTTATAAAAATATTAATAGTTACTTTACAACCATCTGCTCAATTAAATAAAATGATGTGTCTTACCTAGTTTGAAGAGCACCCGCCTCCTTCTAATCCTTCAATTGCGTGCACTAATCCCGTCATCGCTCATCTCAGCACCACTATTCTAGGAAAGACACAATATCGACGATAATACGACACGTGTTTCGCCTCTTCACGAGGCATCTTCAGGTGATGTAGACTCTACGGCGGCTGACCGCTAACTCGCTAATTCTCATTGTTGGTAATAATTTAATCAGTTTTTCACATATCTGTCATCATATTTGACTAGATCCCACATAGAAGCGAAAATAAAAACTAATCAATATGACTGCGATCGTAGCTTCGAAGAAGTCAATGTCACAAATTTTGATATTTTCATTTGATATTTGTAAATAAAATCTATTTTGAAATTGGCAAAATTATATATTTTTTATATAATAAGGAAGACAACGAGCACACAGTCCACTTGATGGTAAGTGGATGCTGTGGCTCTTAGACATCTACATTTATCCCGATTGAGAATCAAAATGCAGATACGTGGCACCGTATCTGCATTTTGATTCTCCCCTCATGACTAAGAAGGAATGCCACGTTTCCAGTAAAAAGTGTACCCGGTTCTCTATACTCACCATACGAAACCAAGCAGCTTAAGCTGCTATTTACTCTGGTATTCTGTAAGAGCACGGTTTTACCCAGGTCGAGTTGATCCATTTGTGATACAACTATGCCACTAATATAGCGGTAGTATGGCTCACCATGTCAATGAAATCAAATAATAACTGTTATATTTTTTTCTTTTTCGTTATTTAAATTATTTAATGTAGAGCCAACCGGACGTAACGGAGAGGTTGCCCTCCGTTACGCGTTCGAGGTGTGCAAAAGTTTATATCTAAAATTATCACACCATGTTTGTTTAAAATCTGGTAAAATAGACTAACATAATGAAGAAAAAAAAAAAAGACAGACTATAGAAGTTTCCCGCTGATTTCGAATGCAAAGCGCTTCAAATTTCACCTGCTACGACATTTTTGAGTTTTCGAGCTTTTCATTAGCTTTTTTGATTTTGATGCGATTTGTGGTAATCGACGCAGGTTTTTGGGGCTTAATAAAAACATCTATCACAAAAAAATTGATTTGATGAGGATTTATTTCGACAACGATATCTCTCGAACGAATCAACTGATTTTTTGTGGTTCACGGAAATCGACGTCATTTTTTTGATAGGAGAGCAGATTAGACTTTAGAATTGATCAAAACAAGAGTTTCGAAGTAATTTTTAAATCTTATCTTTCACTAGACTCCAATCCAATCAGCCAGTCGAATTTCGATTATAATGAGTGCAAATAAAGTCTTAATGTACATTCCGCTTGGTCGTGGGCGTACCTTTAACAAAATACGGGTTGATAAATTAGCTTCTCGCTTAATTTGAGCAGTGTGGATAATAATGTGTTTGAAGTGAGATTGCGGGCGGTATGTGGTCGTAAATTAGTGGAGGGAAAGATGAGGATAATAAGCTAAATATGGAGGAATGCCTGATTATGTGACGCCTGTTAGTATTTGGCCCATACAAATATTTTTACGATATTGAAGTAGCGGGCACTGAAATGATTAGGGCTTGTTTGTTACAAGTCAGATGTAAAATTTGATTAGTTGTCAAGTTTATTTTTATTTTTTATCTCCCACATTACCCGCGTATGCCAAAAGAGAATCTGGAGGAGATAATCTGGCAGCATGATGCAATGCATTTTCCCGATGACAACTCAAAACAATAAAAAATTGCAATTATCCAACCTATTCGGCAATTTTTAGGAGAGGCTTATGTTGTACTGAACTGTGATGTGCTGTAACGATGTTTTTTTTTCTTTACATTATAAGTTAATTGAGAATGAAATATTTAAAATATCGTGAATAATTGAAATCACACAATTGTTCTTCCCCAAGGAATGCTACAAATGCGCAGCTCTGACCAAGGAATGCTACAAATGCGCAACTCTGACCAAGGAATGCTACAAATGCGCAGCTCTGACCAAGGAATGCTACAAATGCGCAGCTCTGACCAAGGAATGCTACAAATGCGCAGCTCTGACCAAGGAATGCTACAAATGCGCAGCTCTGACCAAGGAATGCTACAAATGCGCAGCTCTGACCAGGGAATGCTACAAATGCGCAGCTCTGACCAAGGAATGCTACAAATGCGGAGCTCTGACCAAGGAATGCTACAAATGCGCAGCTCTGACCAAGGAATGCTACAAATGCGCAGCTCTGACCAGGGAATGCTACAAATGCGCAGCTCTGACCAAGGAATGCTACAAATGCGCAGCTCTGACCAAGGAATGCTACAAATGCGCATCTCTGACCAAGGAATGCTACAAATGCGCAGCTCTGACCAAGGAATGCTACAAATGCGCAGCTCTGACCAAGGAATGCTACAAATGCGCAACTCTGACCAAGGAATGCTACAAATGCGCAGCTCTGACCAAGGAATGCTACAAATGCGCAGCTCTGACCAAGGAATGCTACAAATGCGCAGCTCTGACCAAGGAATGCTACAAATGCGCAGCTCTGACCAAGGAATGCTACAAATGCGCAGCTCTGACCAAGGAATGCTACAAATGCGCGGCTCTGACCAAGGAATGCTACAAATGCGCAGCTCTGACCAAGGAATGCTACAAATGCGCAGCTCTGACCAGGTCGTCACTCCATCTAGTTCAGGTCCGCCATTCACTTTATATTAATGTTTAACTGTATTGATTTGCTATGGTTTTAAATGCATTTTCAGTTTATTAAGTTCTTATTATTTTCAACAGGTTTACATTTATTTTATCATCACGTCTTAATAGCATAATTTTTAATTATTAAAATTGCTGATAATTTGTGAGAACGTCTCCCCGTCCCGTCTCCGATCTCCGACCTAGCCGAGCCATTTGTGCTGCAACCATTACATGTTATCATTCAACGTTAATGTTATTTCATACACAGTGTTTTTTATTTATACCTAATTCCACACTTTAATAAAAAGGATTATAAAGAGTGACCTTCATTCCTTTTGGTATTCCCTACTTGGATATTATTTGGTATTCATTACAATAATAAAGTTTTTACTAATATGTGTTGTTTATTTTAGATGCAACTAGACAGTTACATATTCTAGGTAAGTTTAAACATTATCATCATCATCATCATCAGTACAGCTCGTCTAAGTCCACTCCTGAACATAGGCTCTCCCATAGATTATGTCGTAATGTATATTGTCATAGTTGGCATGCAATATGAAAATTAGAAAAGAATCAATACAAAGTTTAAATCCCAAAAAGTTTTTTTATAAATAATTTTATCGCGTTTAATTTCAACTGTATTAATTCGAGCTAAAAAGCTAAAAACTAAAGAACTATGGGCTTCTAACTCATAAAACCAAAACCAACCCATAAAAAAGTTAATCATCCGAACCCAGACAATTAATTTGTGGTTGAAAACGGGACTCCTATACCACGAATTGAGCAGCAGTGTAGCAGTCAAAAGATTTTTCAAAAAACAAAATAAGACCAATTCACATTACTATGTTTCATTTACTACTATCGTAGCAGAGTTTAGTGCAAACTGACTTTATAGATACGATTGCTTAAATCTGTTCTAAAAACAAATCAGCACGCCCCGACCCGACGTTGTATTGTCAACCCTACCCCTCGAGTGTTTTTGTAAAGCCGTAGGCGCGGAGGGACAGCAGCCTTTCGAGCCGTAGCGGCTCAGGATCGCCGCTGAAGGCGACCAATAAGCCAAAGCTGCGGAGGCGAGAATGGGTGCCCGTGATTTCCTAGGCAAGGGCGAAGGGGCTGCTCTTCCACAGAAGTAACTTTGCGTAATTATTCCTATGTTAAAAGTGAGGTTTTAATTTTACAACAAAATCATTACTCATAAACTATACATTTCTGCAAGGGGGCGGGAAGAGGAGCTTCTCCATATTGTCTATTGCCGTAGACAAAATACAGAATAATATTTAAAAACGTTTCGTTTTTGCTAAAGTAAAATCAGTAACTTTCGTTTTTCAGTTTTAAAAATGTTTTTATGATTGTCTCATGTATTAAATAAATAACAGCCATTTTTTTATTCTTATAATTTATCGTTTTATTACCTACATATTTTTATATAACTGTTACTAATAATACCCAATTTCGTATATCTCCTTTCTACTCGTAAGTCTGCTAAGAAGTGACATAATTAGTATTAAGTTTTTTCGTTTACGAGCGATGTTCTCTTAACACTTTCACTGTTCGGTTTTCAGATATAATAGAAAGATAATAGCATCCTATATGTAGTACACGGGACAGCGAAAAGGTTTAGTGAAGCAGATTTAGTAGTAAATTTAAGAGCATCAGATAACAGACAAAAACATTTATCAAGCCTTCGATAACATTTATTTATAGTAATATAACATAAACAAATTAAAATTTAAAGTTGTGTGCATACATAAGTTGAAATGTTTCACTTTTGGATTCAGTCAGGTTATAATTTATTCCACGCACAACCATTATCGGTATATTGAAAAGTAAGTTCTTAACAATCCGTTAAATATTGTTAACTTTGAATGTTAATATCAGCTTATTAATGTAAATAATTCTGTTCTTTTAGACCAATGATACATAAAGTTAAAAAAAAACCGGCAAAGGAAGGAGGAGTAATTCCGTGGGTGTCGTTAGTCAATTACGGAAAATATCGGATTATGGAAATGATATTTTAAGGATTCCGATATATGATTGTATAATGATTTCGCTTATGCCAGACTAACGACGGCTAGTAGCGTAAAATGTGCTACGATCGTCTATCTGCCTGTCAATCTTGACGATCAAGGCAAATCCTCCCTGCAACGGGAAAGAACCACGTCCAGTTGTAATTTTCTACGAGCTGATTACGAAGAAGAAGAATTATAAATTGAATATAAAAATTATAACAGTAATACTAGAATACTATTTATGTATTTAGAGTAATATTATTAGCTTAGGTTGTTGTATAAGCGGTATAAGAACATCCACTACCCATCATCCAGCGGGGAGACGAATCAGTGGAGTCTTAAATAACGACAAAAAATAAGCGGTTGACCCGCTTGCCAAGCGTACTCATAAATAGCTATCTACTAAATTAAATATCTAATAACTATCCTACACTCTATGGGGAAGGTCTATGCTCAGAAGTGGACTTTAATACGTTGTAACGGTAATATTATTATGTTAGCGACGACACGTGAATTTAATTATTTAATTCCAATTTATTCTTATTTGTGATCTAAAAAGACTGATAGTGTTAATAACGTTAAGTGAATTAATTACTTATACTAGCTTCAATTCTTATTTGCAATCTAAAATTACGTAACGAAAGTTAGTAACGAAAGTCAGTAACGAAAGTCAGTAACGAAATGTGAGAATAATTACTTATTTGAGTTTAATTAGAATATTAGAAACGAAATATGAATCTAGTTACTCATTGGAACTTACTCTTATTATAATCTAAAGAACTACATTAGAAACATTAACATCTAAGTGTGAATTTAATTACTTGTTTAATTCTTTTTCTTTTTAATTTAATTTAAAACTACGACAATACGTCAATAAACCACATGTATAATCTCGTTTCCTATTATAAAATAGATTTAGTTCAATAAGAAGTTCAAATGTATTCTGCAATAGTTTCTTAAGATTAAGCGTAATGTTATCACGATAAGCATTGTCCATTCCTGCCGCCTGGCGGCGCCACATGTATGTTATGCGGAAAAAAGGTTAGCTACTACGGAGTTATACCGTAGGAAGACCGCTCCACTATTTTTATTTATTAAAGGTGTAAATAAAGTGTTTTATGGATGATTAATGTTTGAAATAATAAAGATAAGCTATTTCTATTATCAGGAATGTATAAAAACATTGTAAGGGATGTTTTACTACTAAAATAAAAGAAATTTGTAAGTTTCCCTTAGAAAAGGTTGCTCTGCGATCTGATTGGTCGACAGAAATCATTAGTGCCGTGTGCAAATTCGTTAGTGCCGTGTGCAAAATTTAACTATTTTGATTGGTCGAGATTGCCTATAAAAAAGAGGCGTTTTTTGTGGTAAAACATTCCAAATCCGGCAATGTAAGAATAAAGCATCAAGAAAATAAATGAGAAGAAACTCTGAAGAAGTGTTATTTATTGCTCATCTAACTGCTACTGCATGCTCTCCAGTTAACATCCCGCCAGAGTAACCTGCTCCATTACTAACATTCTCACACACGAGCATCAACATTGGTCCTTCGAAAAGCCGGATCGGGTTTAAGGAAAAACTAGGAAGATGCCTTCAAACACAAGATCAAAATCAGTGCAGTCGAAGACTATGAGTGAAAGTAACGCTACTACGGGTACCAGTACGACGGATTGGAGTATGAATACGCCGAGTGAATCCACAAGCACGACGAATACGAACGCGTCAACATCAGATCGATCGACGCTTACAAGATCATCGCCCAGCAGCGTACACAGACAACCCGTACTTCTTACTAAGAACTTTGCCGGAAAGGAATCAACACCGGGGGACGTAACCCATACCACCCCCCCGACCCGCACCGTCGAAGCGTCAGTTCCTCACCAAGAAGAGAGTCATCCAACGCCGCAGATTCAAGAAAGAAGTATCGCAGTGAAGACATGTCTGAACGAGGGAAGCATACCAACGCCCAGACAGAAGAGTCTGCAGCAGCCTCACCCTAAGAAGACGACCCGCGGTCCACACACACTTTCCGTTCGCTCGTCGCATAGGAAGAGAGCAGAAGCGCAAGCAAAAATGACAATGGCATTAAGAGAACTAGAACTGGCAGAAGCTCGGTCAAAAGTTGCTCAAGCGGAACTGCCGAAGAAAGAACTGTTCGAACGAACTCGAGAAGTCGAGCGGTGGTTCATCCAGACTGGAGACATGCCTAATAAAAACCACGAACCAATAGAGGCAGAAGATAAGAAGAGTGGCATCCAGGAACTAGCTTCAGTCATACTCAAGCTATCCGAAAAATCACGTCACACCGTTTCACCAAAGCACCTCGAACTCCCTCACTTCAACGGGGCCTGTGAAGAATGGTTAGCCTTCAACAGGTCATACGAGGATATGGCCGCTTCTTTCAGTAACAATCAGAACCTAGCGCGCCTTGGAATAGCGATCCAAGGAAAAGCTAGAGAAGCCGTCCAAAGCCTACTATTCACCGCCGAAGACCCACGTGAAGTAATCAAGGGACTAGAAGCAAGAATCGGAAGACCTGGAGCACTGGCACTAGCAGAACTAGAAAAAATGAAGAACCTCCCAAAAGTTGGCGAGAACCCAAGCGACATATGCATATTTGCGAGCAAAATAAAGAACGCAGTTGAGACAATCAAAGCCCTGAAGAAACCACAGTATCTCAGTTCACCTAAAACACTGAGAGTTATAGTAGACAAGATGCCGACATCAATGAAGTTTCGTTGGTTCGCCTACCACAGAAGCAGAAGAGATGAGGAAATTCAGGAGCTCGTCTTGTTCTCTTCTTTTCTCGTCGAAGCGTTCCTAGAAATAGAAGCCGACATGTGCGGAGACTTCGTTTCACCTGAAGCATCCTCAGAGCAAAGAAGAGGAATAAGAA